CAACCCTCTTATGTAGACCTTTTTGGTCAAATTGTGGCTAGCACTTTTGAGGATGCTTGCTGACTGTAAGACCAAGAAACAAAGAAGAGGGAATAAAGGATATCCCGTCAAATGATCGTCTTCAAGGAAACTTGAGTCACAAACCGAGGTGGGAATGATAGTGCATTTATAAAGGGTTTCATGCGCTGCGCCAAAAGTTATGGGAAATAGTATTCGTCCGAATAAAAAGATCACAGAAACGTAGGGAGTTTTACTAAGACTTTTGGTAGATGACAAAATTCGAGAAGAATTGACCAGCGGAACCTTACTTTATCTGTCAACTGTGCAAGTTATACCCACAGGAGACAATAGAAGACATAGGAATCACCAAGCGTTTTGGTATTCTTCTTTTAGTAAGTCACGCATGTCGCCACTCAAGCCGTGGTTTGCTGAAGGCGGTAATCAGATTATGGATCATGATAGGGGATCGAGATATTGGTAAATCGGCTCTTTCGTTACCTCACCTTCAGACTTTTTGTCGGTCTCTACAGTTTCTTTGTTTAGTTGCCGTCCTCTGCACGCGTTCAAAGCGATTGGAACAGTAATCTTTCTTCCCGGTGAGTAACCAGCTTTCATTTTGTTCGCACAGGGTAGAATGGTGATTATCTGGTCGGAATTAGGTGGCGACTGTGTCCTATCAAAATTAAAGGTTGTTGCAAGGCAAAAATGTGAAACTTACAGTGCCCTTGTTCCCTGGAGCAAGTTTACTCCACCTCATGTGTCCTATATAGAGACAGTCTGTGATAATGTAGTGTTAGGCTTTATTAAAGACCATATTTCATACTTCGAGTTCGACGTTCGAAAAGACGAATTTATCCTCTAATTAACAAAGCTGCAGACTTTTACTGACAGATATATCTTCCATTCTTAGCTGTCCAATTCGAAGAAGCATAATTTTGTACAAATATTTATAAAATATGATTCATTGTTCACTTTGGCTATGAGACATATCTTTCATGCTTTGCTGCCGAATTCTAAGCAGTAGAGGTTCGTGCAAATAGTTATGAAATATGATCATTTGTGCACTTTGGCAATGAGATATTTTTCGGACGATAAAGTCGTCTGAAGTCAGTGGCAGGGTTATCTGTCACTCCGATTGCGACTATTTTCCAGATTTAATCACCTTCCATAGGTGTCAAGACATACACTTAAAAATTCGCCCTCTGGGATGTAAAAAAGGAGCTAAAATATTTTTTCATAGCAGTTAGCTTTGTAATCCCACCCGCATAATCCCCTCCATTTGTAAACATAAGAAAACGTTTCGGCCAGCAACTGGCGCATTTCAGCGCATTTTGCTTGGAGCATTTTTTGGGCCGCTTCAAGCTGTTTCAGATGACAAACCAAGATTTTTTATGGCAGACACTCCCCCTGCCCTCCAGTTTTGAGGTGAATGAACAAATGTTTCTGTGCTAGCGTTAATCCACTGACAAACACTTCGAACGGAATATTTTGACTTGCCGGAGCTGCGAGCATTCTCCGTCTCTAACAAATGTCCCAAGCAGTGCGTAAGCTGCAAAACCTCTTTTGATGCCAGGAAGCGCCGATGATTCTTCCGAACAAGCTACATTCAGTTTCTGTGCTTAAAAAATTTGCGACGACGACGACGACAATGCTGGACTTTATTTCCTGTATTCTGATCACTTTTAATGCGAGCTTCTGGTAGTGACATTCGAACTTCCCTTTCAGCAAGCGGTATTAGGCCCTCAAATCAAACGAAGTTGTGTAAGAGTTAACCGACAGCCACTGTTTGGCTGATCATCCCGTGTATGTACCTCAGAGAGCAAATAATTGCAGCGCTTCACATACGCAAAACATTAGAATGTCTGCAAGTTTTGCCTCTAGGAGCGGATACAAATTTTCTTGGTTGCTTCATTGGAGATTATTGATATACATGTTGTATTAGTTAATTATTGTTATGTTCAGTGTCAGGAAGTCACTTTTGACTTCCTTTGCGAAGACGGACGCATTTTTCAATACTCCCTACATACAGTAGACAAAGGCCAGTCTAAAAAATAGAGCATTCCCAGGAAGGAAACTCTGTTTTCGAGGACTGTGTTACTGGATTCACAGTAAGGCTACGTCACATTTACTGAGACGAACAAGCATGACTAATCGCATGAAATGTCGACCGAAATTCCAAAACATGTTTCCGATTAGAAAAAAACCCTCAGATGAGCCGGTAGTATTGATTATCGTGCAGCATATTCCCACAATGTTTTAGTTATGCCGAGAGGCCGTCTTTTGAATGTACTTCTTTTCGACGGCTGCAAAACCGTACTTGCCATAAAAAGGCTACTTATAAGTGTGAATGTTTCCTACGGAACTTCGATATCTTTATAAAATCAAGTATATTTTATGAAAAAAACATGCAGGAAAAGTTCCGTCTTATTTTGTTTAATAGAAAATTCAGTCCTCTTTTAATTTTATGGACGAAGGAAACGCATTTTCATGTATAAAAAGTTTTCAATCACCAAATAGGTTTTACCTTGATCTGCCACTGAATTTGCGTTGGGGTTTGTATTTTATAAGGTGCGTGCTTTTCGGGTAAGGATACTACATAGGACTCATAGAATGTGACTCATTGAATGTGAACAGTGTGATATACTTCATAAAAAACATTAATAAACTGACTTGTCTGAAGTGACGTCTCGTAGTCTTAAAAATCGCCTAAGCATGAACTTCTTAAACCATGGATAGCACTTTTCGTGTAAGCTTTTTGAAGATGACGTAAGTTTTTACCAAATGGCTACAAACAAAGAGAGTTTCCATTTAAAGAAGATCCAAAAATATATGGACCAAAAGTTACTCTATATGTGCAGCCATTTTATGACGGGTGCGGTTTATGCAGGTAGTCGCAAATAAGGTCTTTCAAAAGCGGGCTTCCTAACATGACTCAAATATCTTTGAATTGTACGTCAAAAAGACATTATCATAACTCCACCCAAGTAGACGTTCTTAATCAAAAAGGCGTTCTAGAATTTCGGTTAATATATCATGAGACTGATCGGTGACAGAGGTGGGGCTGCTGTATGAGTGATTAGCTTCAACGGGTATCTACCTAACCACGCATTTAGAGCAGTTTTAAACACCATATATACAGGTCAGTAGTATCGGTCTTTTGTGTAAAATCAGTGAATATAGAGCGAAAACACTTAACCGAACTCAATCCGTCATCCAAACTGAAAATAAGCGTTTCTTACAGTGCAGCGTGAGGAAAGGGCGGCGAAGGTGGAATAGCTTGACCCCAAGGGTAATAGGCACATTTGCTTTACCTTTAGAATCTGTGCTTTATGTAAGCTTTCTTAGTTTATCTGATGTTCACAATGTCCTAGCAAATATTTCACTGACTGCGCTTAATTAAGCCGGCTGACTAACGTCTACCTTATTTAGATGGAAATGCGTGCGGGTTATAGAGATTTCTCAGTGTCCAACCTACAAATGAGCGACCACGAACCAGTAATTTCGAAAGCTAACCGTCATACTCTGTTTATCCTTCCCTATTCGCAAAAATATTTCTTTGATTTTACTTGGGACAGTGAATGTCTGTCCCAAGAGAGACCGACTTTTTCATTGTTTATTAATGCTGATTTATGGCTCTTTCCGATTTCTACGCCAGTACGTCCATAAAGGAAACAATTTCCCGCCTCATCTCATACTTCATATTGAGAAAACCGCACCGTTGCTTTTTTAAGTCATTGTTTTGGGGAATTTTGCTAAAAATTATGTTCGTCTTAAAATCAAATAGTGTTTTTCTCCCATAACTCGACTTTCTGTGGCTTGTTTAAGCGCGATGTCCTAATTAATATGTCAATTGCACATGAACTTTTACCGATGCGTTTTAAGAAAATTTTGAGGGTTGACAGACGACCGAGTATTCGAAAAATGTCTGGGCCTAACTGTTGATTGCATCAACCTATGAACAAGGAGAAGAGAGCTAATGGCGGAGCTGACGAAAGTTTTATAAACTACTTCAGGTGACACTGACAACAGATTTTGGGCAACTAACTGCAGGTCATTGTTGAGTTATCCCATTTCAATGCACCAAGTTTTCACAGGTCAAAACAACTACCCGAGGTAACTGGGGGGTACCATTTATATTTTCCATGGAAAACATTATTAGTTCTAATTTTGAAACAATTGAGAAAGTGGTACGCACTCTGCTCACACTGCCTTGAGGGAAACGCTTGCGGCGTTTGCGTACTTGCATCTGGTATGTAGTCCCTAAAAATGTGCATCCATTGTACTGGCTTGTATTTTTATCTGAAAATCATTGGACAATCTGTAGCCTTGTATATTTTACTCTAATTTGTACTATTCGCTAATAGGAGGTCTGATGCGGCCATTTGCTAGCTCTGTCAGTGTTGCTTGTAGAAACGCAAATGGATTCTATGTTCTCAAGTAAGCAAATAGTCCTGGCTTGTTTTTAGATGCAGGTATGTGATAATCTGATAATTATTTCAAGGAACGTTTTTCGTTCAAATGATACAACAGCGGCATTTAATCACCCTACTCCGCGGACTAATTCCTGTTATATCACTGAGCCCATGCAGAGGTTAATCTAATCTTACTCTATGCAAAAATACTTTTGTTTAGTAGTTTAAAAAAATTTTCCCAACAGACTATAATAATGGACATGCAGCAAAGTCGAAGTAAAATTAGTAAATCACCAGGATTTTCAATGTAATGTCAAAATCTCTAAACAGCGGTTAATACTGCGTGCCCCCAGGATCACTAAGAAACATTATCCAGTTACTTGCAGAGAGAAAATGTAAGTTAGGAATTTGCCGATTTGGATTCCTTCGCTGTTATTGGTCCTAACCACTCGACGAATCACCACACCCAGCGGACGAGTGCTAGTCCGATTAAACCTCTTATGAATAAGAAAACCTCATCACTTGCACTCCACGCCTGTTCTTTGCTGTGCAGACTTGTGCATATTTTGCCCCAGAAAAGGGCAGAAAATGACAAAGTTCCCCGACATTGACGATTCTGGTTTGCGAACAATGGAGACTATAGTCTCCATGGAGGAGCTATCATCAAAGCCACCCGATGCCGACAAACACAGTTGTTGCGGTTGCTGCAAGAAGAAGAAGACTGAGTGTCCCAAACCTCCTGATTCCCCGATGCGATATGCATGCGTGCGCAAGTGCACAGCGGTGACCTGTTCACTCCTGGGACTATTGTTTGCTATTGTGGTTTATCTGTCCCTTGGCTCGGTCCTCTTTCGTTACCTTGAGCGTGATGCTCAGCAGGCCAGGCTAGCGAAGGGAATGCAATTGCTGAACGAGACGTTTGATAAATATAATCTGCAAGGAAGGAGTATACAGAGGAGATCGAATTACAAGGACACCAGGACTGTGGAGAAACACCTGGCCTCCTACTGCTTGGACCAACAATTCGAGGCCGTCATCGCGGAACTAAATCGACTCGTAGCAAAGAAAACCGATTTGAAATCGCGTGTTGCAGAGGTGACTCAGTTGCGCGAACGGGCCGGCAAGGTGACAGTGTCCGAAAATAGCACAGACGAGTTGGAACAGCTGGCTGAAGCATTGAGTGTTTCACTGAGTGAGCAGATAGAAACGTTCGCCCTCCTGCTTAACGAGCACAAGCAGGCGCCTTTGAGGTCGCGCAGAATCCAAGACGTTGCTTCCGCGGCTGTTGTGCTGAACAACGTTTACAAAGCCGTACTCGCTGGCTGGCGGCCGTCGAACTCTCCGAAAATAAAACTTTTTCCCTCAACCTCGATACAGGAGGGTCCAATGCCGAGGTCATTTGGAGGAGATACGGCGCTAACGCCTTCCGAGTTACCGCCACCATTCGATAAGCATACTACAAGAACGGATCCGTGGACGTACAGTGGAGCACTGTTCTATGCAGTCACTGTAATTACAACTATTGGTGAGTGTACCCGGTTGTAAAAAAAACCAAAGCATCCCAGTGAGTCTACTAAACACAACCATCCTAGTACGGGGCTGGGGAAGTATCCAGTAAATTACTTTGGCAACAGTCATTTTGCTTTGTGACAGTATGTATTTCCTTGAATAAACCCGATGTTTCTTCAAGTAAACGGAGAACACTAATCAGTGACCAATCTCATGAAACGACAATCACAATTTCGTAATGGATCTCCGATTAGGAAGAGCTACTTGAATAAGGTTATCATACTGACTATCATATGGTATGATCCCAAAATATTTCATCATGCCACGTGGCGGATTCTTACTGCACTATTTGGCTGCGTGCAAGGCAACGCACGGTGATAAATGTTCATTTAAGTAGCATGGCTTTTTGAATTGACTTAAAGGCCTTTTCAAATTCCAAAATTATTAATGAAAAATTCTGTCGAAAATGTTCCTCTTGCACCCATTTTCTGACAAATCACGTCTGTTGCAAATTGTTTGGCTAGATCGCAGTTGGTAGCCAGGAATGGGGAAGCGGACGGCGACCTTAAACCTAATCCTAACCTGAACCCTAACCCTACCCTCAACCTTAAACGTTAACCGTTAACCTTAACAGCAACCCTAACCGAAATCCTAAACCTGACCGTAGCCCTTAGACATAGCCGTAACTGGAAAACCTAACCGTAATACTGATACCTAATCGTACGCTCAAACCCTAACCGTAACCCGAAAACCTAAGTTTAAAGGCATACCCCTAACCCGAAAATCGGAAACCATTAACCGGTACCCTAATCCCAACCTCAGACGTAAAACCGAAGCCAAGTGGGTCAGATGTGATTATGGAACCCCACAAAATAGCCCCAGTAAGCAACCCATCAGCCATCTGTAATACGGGGCCTGGCTACCAACTGCGATCTAGCCGATGTTGTCCATTAACAAATTGAGGAATGTCAAGTCGGCGAACGTGCGTTTTCGATTATTCGTCGTCAGACCAGTACACTAATATAGATCTAGACAGAGCAGTGAAATTCGAGAAGTAAAACAGCTTACGAGCAGTAGTCAGAGCTTGGGGTAAATGTGTTCAGATTTGTAGGGCAGAGGGATAATTAAAGGCCAGTTTCTGTCAGTGATACGGCAACCGCACCATTGCACGTCGCGCTACAGCGACGATGCATAAGCGACAGTTCGACCGTCGATTTCGACGATGTCCACCGTGTGCCCCACAGACTGCATTGTGGGAGCAGGGACGGTGACTTGCGCAGGGGTTTATAGTGCCAGTAGACTTGCGCTGCATCTACCTACACTCTCTCCTCCTCCCCCGCCTGGGCCCGGTGTCAAGACAGAGTCAAGAAGACCGGAGACGAGGGAGGCCGCAGGTGGATGGCTCGGACGGATGCTCGCCTTGGCGCTCCACTCCGCACCCCCTGGTCCACACACAAATGACCAGGATTTTGACCACAAAACAATGGGGTGGTGGCAGTGGTCCCAGTTTGTGCGACGAATGCCGACAACAGGGTCCGCCAGCGCACCCCGCAAATGTTGGCATTTGTTATTGCGCACAGATAACGCCTGCCAGAGTACGATGTGGCCCCCGTGTTGTCCAGCGCATCTAACACGTGGCCCGTTCAGAGGGCACATAAGCACAACTGAGTCAGACTACCCTACCTCTTCCCGTAACACCGATAGAAACTAGAATATACTCATCCCGCTGCCTCACAAGTCTGAACACATTTGCCCCACGTTATGGATATTGTTCATAAAATTTTGTGTCGGATGCAGACAGTGTTGCGTACTTCATGAGAAGCATTTTTAAACATATAAGTGCAATGTTATTCGAACAGATATTTCACGGTCTTTAAAATTCTTAATTACGGAACTTTTAAACAAAACTCACCCTTTATTCAAATATTACCTTAATGGAAGACATGACCTGCTACCGAATAAATACCTAATGCAAACTTTCATTGATTTTTTACAAAATATATTAGAATTCAGAAAGACACCGAAATCGAAGAAAAATTCATGCGACATAAGAAGTCATTTTTTGCCGGGTGTGGTTTTTGCAAACGACCAAAAAGAACGGAATCTGGCGCACTGGCGTGACTGAAATTTCCTGGGATGTTTATGAGCACTAATCAACCATACGACACTATCCAGGCGGAACTGTCTACAATTCCATAATATACTGATTCTACTAAGCAATGTCCCAGCCGTATAGGATGGTTTTGCTCACACCTCATACGTAATATTGACTGCCACCTACCAATTTTGAAGCCCATTTTAGTTATTCTGCTCATGAAAACATATCATTCACTTCGCAATGCCTATTGGCTGTCAAGACAAAAATTAAAAATCAATGGCAACTAATAACATCCGTATAGGCATAGCCATTTATTTGATATGAAAGGGGCCAACTACACATTCAGTCAGAAATGGCCTCCACCTGTCCATTAGCTTTCTGCAATAACCAAACCCATATGAGCGACAGAGTTCAGAAAACTCGACCACCTGCCGGACCTAACTCTGTCAAGCCCTGGTAGAAAATGTGCAGTAACAGAGAAAGCCTTGTGAAGGGGCACTGAACTTCGGTCCAGTGAAATGCTTATGGCTCCCCTGCTGTACCTCGTCTGTGGACTATCTGCTCCATAGTTTGCTCAATATGTTCTTTGACGAAAACAATCAACAGGACAGAAAAACAGTAGCTTGGCAAATTTTTTGAATTAAATTAGCCTACATTGTGTGGTCGTGTGTCCATGATTTGTCAAAAAAACTGGAGGCTTCGATTAACTTACGATTTTAGGGCGTTTAAACGCAACACAGTGAGAGAACTAGCCCGATAATTTCTACGCTTTTCTTCCCCTGTGGGTGTGTGTCTTTAATCCACCTTACTTGAAAAGGAGCATACAGTCAAGACTGTCTGGTACCTTAGGAAGTGTTGTTACGTATGCAGTTTCTAGGACCGAATTCTACCACTCATACTGGAATATAGATTAGCAGTTTGCGGCATAAGGCATACCGATTGAGCGATACCCTGTGCCAGAGCGGGCTGAGAGTGAGATATGCAGTCTTCTTTGGCCAAAGTCTTGGAAATTGTCTGGGTTCCTGTAACATTTAACCGAATTTCTGTGGAAGTGGCCAAAAGCCAGACAGCCAAGTGATCCTTCCTTTGCCATTCACGCTCCTTTCAGCTGCCGCTGATTTATGTGGTCTTCAGTCTGACCCATCATCTTGGCCGCGCCAAAAGCAAGGTCCTCCTGCCTTTCAACCTAACCACTACATGTGTTTTTGATTTTCTCTAACCCCTATCTGCATCTCTTATGCAGTACCTTCTAAGCAGTCTCGTACCACAAAACTTCACTGAGATTGGCAATCAACGACTGATCCTTTAGGTTAAGGAATTAGGTCCTTGGAGAGTTCCCACTGCTGGCAGCGTTGGCGGGGGATGAAGGCATTATTCCTATATAGGGTAGCGCTATGAATCGAGCTAGGAATTCTGAGGCGTTGTTTACGTACCGACTACTCTGTCATGAACTAGGGGTTGGTGCAAGGGACAGGGCTCCGGAGAGAATTTGGCTGTTCCGCGTTTGTATGCGCATGTGCCGTCAGTAGCTACCCCTTTTCAATAAAACTACCAAAGAATATGCGGCCGGTCGGCATGTTAGGGTACTGGCCGTCGAAAAAACGTCAAGTTAGTTTTGGATTAGAACAGCCACGGCGCAGAAAAATCTGTGGAGTCAATCATTGTGCTTATATGAGGGCGGGCAAGTTATGTAACATTGCTCATTACAGCCAACCATCGAGCAATTTAAAGACCATGTAAGTTCAAAGTTCCCCTGCCAAATTATATGCTTCTCCGTGAAACCGGGAACCAAGCAAAAATGAGTCATTGTAAACGTGATACTGATGATGAGATGATTCAGTTACGCATCGTTTGTTTTGTCTGATGTGGAGGACACCCGTGTAGCATGCAGCTGGTTCTTAAACCCGGAATCGAATTCGCTTGCCTAACTTTCCACTTTCCACTGGAACATGGCAGAAGTAGTGAGTGAAGATAAAGTGGGGTGGGAAAAAGACTCTGCGGCAGTTCTCTTCCTTCTGGTCCATCCTGCATGTAAACCGAAAGCGGCCGCAATCGGCAACAGTCCTCGTTCGCCATGATACGCTAATTGCGATTGTGGCCTTGTCTGAAAAGAATTAGTCACAATAAATTAGTTCCCGACAGAGGAGAATTCAGTGACCTCGGTGGGATTCGAACCCCCGACAGTGAAGCAAAGGTTTGAGTACAGCCAACGCTCTAAGTACCTGAGTTACATGGTCTCACCGAGAGACGTGGCTTTAATCGCATTTGGATCAAGGTACCCTCTCAGTCTCTTTCGACGTATGGAATCCATCAATTCTGATATAGTAAGATGACTGCCCAAGCAGTATTTGCTAATTAATCAATGTAGAATCCATCAGATTGCTACCCAGTCCACTTAGTTAATATGTGTTTTGCCAAAACGTTGCCTGTACCTAGGTCTTCCCCTTTATGTCTTGAATTCGAATCCCACCAAGTTCGCCGAGCTTTTCACAATCGTGTCAATATGGACTTTTCGAAATCTGTCAAAACACCTACAGTACCTGTGCTAACTCATGAAATCTCATGAATTAACACAGGTAAACGACTTTAACGCAGAATCGGTAAACACTACGGCTCCCAAAGTCTGACAGCGAAAAATAAAAAATGTGTCAAAGAAATAAAGTAGAGTTTGGTTTAGAAAATATTGTTTACTGAGATAAAAATAAATAATTTTCGACAGAAGTCACATTTTCGAGAAACGCCTTTATTACAACCAAGTTAATAAAGGCTAGGTATGAGGGCGTATAAAGGAGGAAGGCGCATAAAAAAGCCTGAACCCGGTAGTCATCTGGTGGATTCTATGTGGATTGCTAAGGAAATCCTGCCTGGATGGTCAGTTTACTGTATCAGATTTGGTGGATGCAAGAGTTTACAGTAGGCTGGGCGAGTAACCTGAGCCAAATGTGATTAAACTCACGTCTTTCAGTGGTGCCTCATATTTCAGGTGGTTAGAGCGCTGGCTGTACTCAAGCTTTCCCCTCACTGTTGGGGCTTCGAATCCCACCAGCGTCTTTGAGTTTTCACAGTTGGGTTAAAATAAATCATTTAGAATCCTCCAAAACACCTATAAATTATTAAGCCTATGATTTGACAGGTCATATTTTTGATGAGTTCCAGACCACTTTTGTTCACACGCATCCACTCTACCGGTATATGTTTAAAGACAGATGCCGCATAAATGGCCTAAAATTGCAGCCACTGACGTCGAAACCCCTGTCACCTTATTTATTACTTCATAAATCTCGCCTGAATGAATCAGCCAGCTTCCAATTATGAAAAAGTGACACCGCAATGTGTAAACAAATATGTCTGGTTAGTGCAATTAAGCAAATTATTAGATTTTCCTGGAGTACAGATTTCTAAATAAACTGCGATCTAGGAATCGCCTGACCAGCGTAATCTACCATAATTACACAAATATGTCTAGACAGCATTATGCTGGTTTGGGCAAACAGGCTTATTTTGCTAATAACTTTGATCAGCGATTAATCTCGGTTTTTGCTGCAGTTGGAAGAATTAGTCCCCTGCTAAGCCTGCAAATTGGCCATTTCCGGACCATTTTAAAGGGGAAAACTTGCTGATGCAGTCCCATTTTTTATTACAAATCACTGCAGAGTAGTTTTGGTAACGTAGTTTTGTTCCTCCACAGAGTTTGTGAAAAACCCATGTTATTATTAGGCGATTTACTTCGTGTTGTTTCGTTTTAAATGTTTTGCTAGATACTGCTTTCCGGTAACCAAAAGTGGCAAAACATGTACTATGAAGTACCTGAACGAAGGTTGTCAAATTTAGCTTATGACATTTTGCTGTAGCGTTAACATTAGAGTTTTTTATTGAGGGCACGGTGAAAATTTCGTGCCAAAAAAGCCGTTTCTAGAAACGTCGTTTTGTTTTGCCTTGAAAAAATTGCCGCTGAGATTCATGGTTTCCTCGGAAAAGTCAATGGTGAACAGGCTTTCTCTGAAGGAATATGTAGGAAGTATTCTGAATCCTCTAAAGCTCGCAAACGTTCCGGACGGTAAGAAAAATTTGAATACAAATGATAGGAAAGCGTTAATCCACCAAGATTCATATCAAACGCTTGCCGAAATGTCATATTTGATACATTTGGATTTGATTCATCTACTTTTTGGTAAGGATTTACATGCTAGCATGAAAACAAGAATTTGAGTACCGCATGAATCGGCTGACAACGAGAAAAGTATAAAAGCCTACCGGAAATATTTCTTTCAGGGCGTGATTGACAATGACAAACGGATCTGTTACGATAGTCTTAAATGTAAAGTTTCCGGACGCTGCCTGGTCAACTATCGGCATAAATCCCAAAGGCAAATATTTATGGGAGGAAAATGATGTTGTATATCTATCGGAACCAACGAGGGGTAGTGCATTACTTGTCGCCGAGGCCTTCTGAAACTCCGGGCGATATCAACGACAGTTTATGAATTTCCGTCCAAAAACGTCAATAAAATGGACAGAATATGGTGAACAATGTGATGTGATTTTGCCACATGAAAACGCTAGACCCCATTTTACACAGCCAGTGAGGGAAACTTTGAGAGCATATCGTTATTAAGTCCTACCCCATCCGTCCAATTCACCAGGCATTGTTTCGTCACATTATCATTTGTTTCGGTTGATGCAACACAGTCTTACCGTCCAGCGATTCAAGTCCTGTGAGAAAATCAAAAATTGGCACGATCATTGGATTGCTCCAAAATTCCATCCTTTTTTCCTCCGCGAAATCCACTTGCTCCTAAAAGATGGGAAAAGGTTATAACTGCCAAACGGACAGCATTCTGAATATGCTATAATATTTAGCCATCTTTAAGTAAATATTATTCTCTTGCAAATAAACGGCACGGACCAATTCCCACTTCCAGTGTAATCTATGCTGGCAACATCTTTTAAATCAGCTGTACTGACCGCACACGTATTTATTAGTTCATCCTTCATGCAAAGACTTCGGCTCCTGGTTCAGAAAAGTTTTAACTCTTCACAGTTTCATTACGGTGACACGATTAATCACTACAACGCCTTGTGTTTATGAAAAACCCTTAGTAGTTTGAATCAGGACAACCACTTTCTGACATCTCAGTTTTTCTTAATCACGGAAGTGAAACATATGGGCAGTATTTTACTACCGAGAAAGGCAAGGGAGACCGGAGTGACCATTCCTGGTTTATTAGCCGTCGTCAGTCAGTCATACCCAACCCCGAAGTGTGGAACACCCGAAGTTCGAACTCACGGCCTGTCGTTTAAAGTCCACGCCCTTAACCACTGAGCCACGGGCCCGTTTTGCTGTCGGTTTCGATCGGGAATATACAATGGTAGGGGGCACTCACCGATCATTCTTCCGGAACTCACTTGTTCCTTTGTGCCTCACGGACTCCCTCTCTCGAGTCCAACCAGCAGCCGCACAGTTGCGCATGACACAGGCAGTAACTAACAGGTCGCGAGTTCGAGCCTCGGGTATTCAAAACTTTGGAGTTGGGTATGACTGGCTGGCGACGGCTAGTAAGCTAGAAATGGCCATTCTAGTCTCCCTTGTCTTTATTGGTAATGCCATTCTGCCTATATCATGCGCCGCTGTGCGGCTGCTGGTTGAGCTCGAGAGAGGGAGAGAGCCCGTAAGGCACAACGGAACGAGTGAGATCTGTAGAAACGCTCGGTGAGCGCCCCCTACCAGTGAAACATTTATACATTTTTCCAACGCATGGGAACGAAGTATGCAGTTAGTTGGCAAGTCTCTTTTAAATCATATGCAGTTGTTTTATGCCCCAAAATTGCCTTTCCATTATTTCAGGATACGGCCAAATCGTTCCAACCACTACCTTGGGAAAGGTGTGCACGATCATCTACGGCTTCTTTGGGATTCCGCTAATGCTGCTATTTCTGGCCAACCTAGGCAGCCTTATGGCAGATTTCTTCCGCCTCGGCTACTTTCACCTATGCCGCTGCGGTAGAGATAAGGGGGGACAAGTTCCGGCTCAGAAACCCCTACCAAAAACTCCTCTGGCCAAGGCCTCGCAGGCCGAGAGGGCCCGCCATGCTTCCGCCGGCCAGGTGGTGGACGGCAAGTCGAGACAGGGTCGCAAGACCACAATCATGGCCTCCGCAGCACTGCGCGCCGGGTCGTCATCGCCGGCTCTCCGTGATCGACCCGGCCGCACCCACATGACACCACCAGCTACCCGGGCCCTGCATCATCTCGTGCAAAAACCCTCCCTGCCCGGGATCACTGACAGCCTCTTTGTATCTCTGATGGGCACCAATTCAATCTTCGCGCGGGCTGCCCGCGCCCGTCAACGCAGTCGAACAGTTCGTGTACCCATCTTGATCACCCTCTTCATATTCTTTGTCTACCTCTTCACCGGAGCGGTCATCTTCTCGCATTGGGAGAACTGGTCATTCACGGATGCCACCTACTTTGTCTTTGTGACTATCTCGACCATTGGCTTCGGTGACCTAATTCCCGGTATGGAGGATTTCGATTTTGGTAGACAAACACAGAAATTTTTGGCGGCTATCACCTACCTCCTCCTCGGGCTGGCCCTCGTCTGCATGTGCTTCGATCTGATGCAGCGAGAGTTGAAGCGAAAGTCCAAGAAGTTGGCCCAGCGTATCGGCTTACTTGACAGCCAGTAGAGAGGGGTGTTAGGATTCTACGACGAGTCTACGTGAGCCTTCGTTTTGTGACAAACTGCAAGATTTCACGATTCAAGAACTGTGCATAATTCTCCAGGCCTCAGCGAGGCCTCAAATTCGCTTCCATTTTTGCCATGCCAAAATTCACCTGTTTTCTTTATTTTGCTCAAGGAATAAATGCCTTATCGCTTCTTTCCTGTCTAGTTTATGAACTGGACAGCAGTTATTCGAGACAAGTTGACGATTTGCATCTTATCTTACTACTGATAATTTTTGAATGAGATAAAATATCGCCTTAGGAGATGAAGAGCTCTTTCCCGGAAGAAAGGAACTAACCTGCGAAATACTAGGATATATATATATCACTACCGAGGTATAATCGTTTAACAAGGCTGTAATTCATAAAAATTAAAAAGACTTCAATTTGAATGCCTGATCTGCTTGATATCTGGAAACTACACTTACTGCAAAATAACATAAAATTAGGAAAACTACATTGCGAGAAAATATTCTTAGGGGCGTAAACGACAACAAGGCGTCCGCCATAACGCTCGTTTTATCTTGTCAGACAAACAGGGTATTTCGAGCGACTGAATATCCCGTTTTTAAGGACGCGACAAACACGACATCATTCCAAACAAGGAAAGAGGTCCAAGTTACTTCGTGCACGACAGAATACTAAATTTTGTGCATACTTTTGCTGACAGTTGCGTGGATTATGCTCTGTTAAAGCCAATGCATGTCTAATTTTTCTGTTTATTTTTGGTAGCTATATCAACCCATCAGAAATTCATTTCTGTCACTTAATTTGTAAGATGGTGCGTAGTTTTTAAATTTTTATACTTTCATAGAAGTAGTTATTTTTTCTTAAGAAACGTTCGCATTTGTGAGAACGCTTGGGAGGCCAGCGAAGCATTAGTGTTATCCTCTTTCACTGTTGCTGTACATAAAGTGCAAAAACTGTTTGGGTGTTTATAAACACCTAAAATCCTCTTTGTGGCAATGGTCATCAATATGTGAGTTATTAAGTCGAAACAAATGGCATGCTGTTTGACCACCGTAGGTTTGGGTGGAAATGTAGGTTTCCTTCCAAAATGTGCATGCCTCAGCAAAGCCCGTCAGAACCATGATGAAAACTTTGTTTTCAAGTTCTTTTGTCGTGGCTTTCTGGCAAACCGGTATATTAAACAAATTTGCCGTAAGTCATTTCTAGGACGTTTGATCTAATTTATTTGACTTGCTCTCCTAACGATTGATTTTGTAACCACGTTCAAGTATATTTTTCTACTTGGGAATCGACCGGAAACTCACGATCAGTGTTCAGCTAGGTTTCCTGCACACCGTATGTATGAAAACTTGCGAATGTTTAACTGGTGGTTTTTCTGAAGTAAAAGCATGATCTTATCAGGAAGACTTCGTTTGCGTCAGGCAAACCTTTTCAGATCTTTCAGTCAATTTTTATCCTGATAATCTCGAAAGTCTTCTAATTTTAGTCATACACACCTTACGTTAGACCATAAAGCCGACCTATCGATCGGGACGTACACTTAAGAAATGGGCCGTCTGGCGTTTCATTCTTTCTCTTCAGACATTGATTTTCTGATGCCTTTAAGGATTTCATAAAGGGTGTTTAGAAAAGACCGAATTTTCATCTGCAAATTAACATGAACCACCAGGGGCAAAGTAAAATAATAACATCTGTTCGAACATCAAATAGCCATCTTGACCAGGCGAGTTGAACGGGTAACTCGTAAGTGAAATGCAGCTCTGAAGCCAGGACAACCCGGCCGGGTAATTGACATGAAGTATTTTTTACTTAAATTCAAAATTAAGGCGGCTATGTTTACAATGCATTTCCGTAGTCTTCAAACATATTGTTTTTTGTTTAAACGTCAGCCCAGGACACTACTTCATAGCGCCCTGATTTGCAAACTTCAAAGCACACGTCCACAAAGTGGTGCTAATTAATCGAGTTTTTTACTCTCTGCAGAAGGCAAAAATCATAGTTTTTTAAGAAGCATGTTTTATAGCTTCGAGATGTGACATAGAAACATTTGTTAAGTACACTTTCTTAGAGGATGCTTCTTAACTGACCTGTTCTTCCTGCAAAAAGAATACAGAAGCTATGCAAAGAACACAATTATGCGTAAATAAAACATTCTTAGGTTATCCGTCGTGCAGCTTTAGGGTTTCCTCTCTCTCTCAACACTTAAGATTTATTGCGGCCCACACTAATCCCTTAACACCGAACGTCGTCAAACGATTTACGTTGTAAGCTCAGCTAAAAAGTTCAGTTACTGGATCGGAAGACTTTTGGCAGCCAGCTGTTTCTAACGCCTGACTTAGTCCTTTTTAGTAATATCGCAAGTTCATGGGTGGGTAACACTAGCGAGAAGTGAGTAGTTCTAATGATATGCACAAGTAAGTATGCTTTTGGGGTGATTTTGGGGTAATCTGAGTTACTATATCATTATGACCGTAAGTTTCTGACGCTTAGCAGAGGCACGACCACTGAAATGTCTGAAAGGAAATTAGGCAACGGTAGGTTGCGTAACCCCACGCTCGTGTAATACAGGAATATTGGTAATAGGGTTTTACAATCGGGACATCAATGAGAAGGGGGAGCGAAATTCATGCATTAAAACTTAAAAATATGTAGATTTCCGTTGAGATTCTTTTTCTAAGCCCATATGTAGCAATGGCAGTGAGCGTGCTGAATGAAAAATAAACAATAAACAATCTCCAATAAGTAAAAGGTAATCAAATAAGCCGCCATTTGCAACTTTGCGACAACCCATAAAGCAGGGGGATGAACAACCAATAAAAGAGAAGAACGGCTAGTGACAAATAATTCAATTGCGGATATAGACTGCGAGGCGGCGTACTGCACATGAATATTAGAGAAGCTATGCAAATACACCCTAAGGGACAAGGGAAAATTCAAATAACGTAGATACCAACGCCTGTTTGTATCTTCGCATTAAGTCGATCGTTTACCGCAAAATAAAAGTCCAAGAATATCAGATATTTATAAGCAAAGTTTATGTATAATAATGAAAGGGGTAGGTGATATTATGGTCGTTATTTCCTGTTAGCATATAGACAATGAGCTCCAGACCGCAGAAAAATCAGGCAACCGAAGCTTGACCTTCCGATCAGAGCGAAGGAAATAGCCGAGGCTTTAAACTCTAAGGAGATGGTAGATTACTGCCAAGCAAGCGCCTGCTATCTAGTGTGACAAAATGCCATTGTGGAGGCCAAATGTGCCAGCAAATAATGAGTGCTTCCGGTGGCGCATCGGGCAATATGATCCCGTGTAGAGGGAGTTTAATATTGTCTGCGGTTTAGCCTAGACAACGTTGGCCTAAAGCAAGCCTGTGCATTATCCCTGTAACATATTGTGGAAGCATAGCCGATGCAATAGCTTCCCGAACAGAGGACTTAAAAGGCTCTTTCCTGAACGCAAAGTTAGCGACCATTTTTGCAAATAGACTAAACTGAATTTAACCGTCTTATTACTGGTTATGCAATAGACTACGCACAGGTATTCCCGAAGAACTAAGTAAGCCATGGCATACACGTTAGACAACAGGGACCATACGGAGATATTGAGGAAGCTGGGCGTTCGTGATCTAACCGAGGCGAAGTAAATCAAAACTCACGGTGACCCTTATGGCACGCGTGAGTGCCGAGATGGCAATTAAAGGTTAAGCTGGTCTTTTCGAAGAAGTAAATAATTCACGGCGTACATGTCCAACAACAGAAACTGTTTGCAGGCATCGAGCAAGTCGAGAGCATGTGCTCTAACCGAGGTCAGCTAAGTCAAAACGGAGTCGATGGTCCTTACAGCACGCATTGCGTTTTGAGTATAGATATGACACAAAAAGGTACGGTAGGTGGGCTAACTCATGAAATATCAACCGAAATTGCGAAATGCGTTTTCGTTTTGACAAGATTAATTAAGTATGTTGTAAAATTAATAATCGTTAGCCATAAATCTATAACAATTCAGTTACCTCAGGATGCCGGCTTATGGAAGAAATTCTTTCTGAAGCATGCAAAAAGTATACTCTGTAAACAATGACTGCTTAATTAGCATGCATTTTTCTCATTGATTTTCGATGTCCATAGAAATTCAATTATATTTCACGGAAGGCGATCGTAGCTATATTCATTCTTTTATTCAGTCGGCGGAAAATGACGTTCTCTTCCAATTTTATGCTCTAAGAAAGTGTACAATAAGGTTTTCAAAAACTTTTCCAATTCCCGGAATATTTTGAACCCGACCCGCTGTTAAACTTGCATTCAGGGTTTCAAAACCACAAGCCGTATACTTTCCGTGTACGAAAGTCCATACATATCTCTACGGTATTAAGAGGAGACCATATGGTTAAAGATATGTAGTTATGATCGCCTTCTGTAAAATATGATTGAATTTCTATGGGCTTCGAAAATCGTTGAGAAAAATGCATGCTAATTAAGCAGTCATTTTTTGTATATTTTAGTTTTTGTATGCTTCAGAAAGAATTTCGTTTGTAAGCCGGCATCCTGAGATAACTGAATTAGTATAGATTTATTCTGTACGATTATTAGTTTCACAACCCTGCTTAATTGAACTTTTCGAAACGAAAGCGCATTTCTCAATTTAGGGTGACATTTTATGAGTTAGCCCACCTATTGCATAGCTATCCCTTGGAAGAGACGGACTACAGAGAGGGGGCAAAAACAGAAGGCCAAACCATACCAACTAATTTATTACTAAAAAGGTCACAATGAAACAGCTCGATGCTCGTAGTTATATAACCGTGCTCTGTAAAATTCAATGGGTGATTTCCTTTAGCTGTGTGCTGACAAATTAAGCAAGGCCGACCAAATAAATATAGTAGTTATTTGCGTATGTTAGATCAAGTGGGCTTACACAACCTGTCCTTGCCGAAAACTGTTTGACCTCACGGAGATTAACTATGTGAAGGGACAATTGTCGCCCCCATTATGTTTAT